GGGGTGCGTGTCTGAGTGTGTCTGTGCGCCTGTGCGCGTGCGTGCCTGAGCTCAGAACAGCTGTCTGTGAGGGAGTCGGAGGAGAGAGAGAAAGGGAGCCAGGGAGAGAGAGAGAGAGGGACTTCTGTAAGGCGGCACGACCACACCAAATAGCAGCCGCAGAGGGAGGTGGGGGAGAGGGAAATAAAGGGGAGTCATGCTTAAAATTCCACAGCGGTGTGAAACAGCAGAGCAAAGAAGCGCCCCCAGCTTCTGAGAGTCCTGGCCCGAGTCCCCTCCCCCGTTAGAAACAGGGCTTTGGGATGGTCATGGAGGTGAGTGCCCTCCAGCCTCCTCAGGGCCCCCGCTCCCCGCCCCCACCCCCCACTGCCCAATGCATGAATGAATGAGTTCCTCTCTGCACTGCACTCTGCTACTGTTCCTACCTAATGGCTTCCAGGTTAGTGCTAACTCGTGCTGACGCTTGTGATGTGTGTGTGTGTGTGTGTGTGTGTGTGAGTGAGTCTATATTTGTTTCCTCGTGGGATTTTTTTGGAAGGGATGGCTCTGTCCTGGGGTCCGGATGGGCCCTGGGGGCTTTGGTGAAGACCTGGCTTTCTGGTTGTGTGCTTTTCCCATCTGACGCAGGCTGCTCAGAGCTGCCAGGAACACAAACCTTTCAAGGCAGAGTAAATCCGGAGTCCATGTTGTTTGCTTCTGTTTTCTGTTCTGGGGATCCGAAAGCAGCCAGTGTGACATCATGCTGCAGAGATGCCACCTTCTTTTCCCTCCCTAGCCTTTTCTCTTCTCCTCTATAGTAGCACTGCTTGAGCTGAGCTCTGGATCATGGAGGGGTGGCCCTGGGGTGGGCTGGAGGGAAAGGCTGGGTTGAGGGTGATGATGGTCTCCTTGTCCAGCAAGACTTATTCAGGGCCCTCTAACTTGGAGAAAGGAGGGCAGAGGAATGAATTAGTGGCACGATACGTCACGGAGAACTGGCCGAGAGTTTCTGGGGGAGGTGTGGACAGGCCATGTGCTCCTGTTCCCCACCTGCTGGCTTCCCTCCGCAGTGCCTCAGGCGGGGGTAGGAGCTGGCCAGAGCTGTGGTCAGAAAGATATGGACAGACACTGCTTATCCCACAGGGAGAGGGCCATAGGACAGATGGATCTGGCTAGCAGAAGGAGAGGATGAGAGAGGAAGTTGATAGCTCTCATCTCAGAGAAATAAAGGGATTTGTTTATTCTTTGGCTTAGCCAGCATTTGGCACAGAGATTTGCTATGTATTTTGAGAAAATAGCTACCCAGTGGCTGGGCCTTACTCCCCCACACCTCCTCGCATTGTTAGTTATTTGCTTGATTTAGGAAGTGGAGGGCTGGGGGAGGACTTGGAGCTTGCTCTCTCCCTGGGGCCTCAGCCAAGAGCTCAGGCAGGGCTAGAGAAAGCCATCTTTGCCTCTTCTCTGACACTTGCTCACACACTCTGCTCTGGGGAGACCCCCTCGCTCCTCTACCTCCTGCCTTTCCTCCCTCCGCAGCTGACCTTGAATAGTGGTCGTATTTTTAGCCTTTGCCTTGGATAGTGCTCGGCAGGTTAGAGAAGTTTGGGACCAAGATGAAAAAAGCTGGCCTTGGAAGAAGGGTAAGGGAAAGGGATGTTTTTGGGAGCTACTTGTAGCAGGAGATTGATAACGTCAAGGCCATGATTAAAAGGTAGTGCCCCCTGAGAATTGGGGGTGGGTGGGGAGTAGAGAATCAGCTAGTCCGGTTACCTCTGTAGGCATTTAAGCAACTGCAAAACAAGCACTTGTGGAAAGAATGAAGGAATAAAAGCTGTCATCACCTAGAAGAAACACTCCTGGTTGGGTGTGCTGGCTTATGCCTGTAATCCCAGCACTTTGGGAGCTGAGGTGGGAGGATCGCTTGAGCCTAGGAGTTCAAGACCAGCCTGGGCAACATAGCAAGACCCTGCCTCTGTTTAATAATAATTTTTTTAAAAGCCTAAAACTAAACACCTCCCACACCCCCTCCCCGCTTCTCTGTTTTCTGGCCCTACAGATTTCCTCTGCGGACAAGAACAACCATGCAGCCCTTTCCCCCAGTGGTTGGGATGCAGGCAGCCTCCCCTTGACCTTCTCAAGGTCTTTTCTGTTTAGACTAGAGGCCAGCAGACTGTTTTGGTACAGACCCAGATAGTCAATACTGGGGGCCTTGTGGGCCGGGCTGTCTCAGCTACTCAATTCTGCTTTGCACAGTGGAAGCAGTCGTGGACAATTTATGAACAAACGAGCATGGCTGTGTTCCCAATAAAACTTTATTTATGGACTCTGAAATGTGGATTTCCTATCATTTTCACATGTCACAAAATATTCTCCAGATGTTTTTCAGCCACTTAAAAATGCAAACACCATTCCTGTGTCCAGATAAGAGACTCCTAAGGTCTGTGGTTTTGCATCTGGCCTAGAGATACTTATAAAAACACTCAGAATTATAGTGTAACCTGAGTTGGGGTAAAATTGTTCATCCTTCTGCCGAAACTTGGATTTGTCTTGTTGGCGGAAGTGGTGGGGGGTGTTTGCTTCTTGGAGGGATATGCACCCTACTTAGCCTACAGGATAAAGTTGAAGCACTATACCCAGAGACTCATAAAGGAACAGTGAGTAATTTCTTGATTCTTTTGATTCAGAAAATGACTGAAAATATATGTTTGCGTTATGACTTCCAAAGCAGGTGAAGTGATGATTCTGCTCTATTCTGAGCTGCTCAGACCACTTCTCTGCAGTATTACAACGATGTCTGGGCTTCATAGTTCAGAAAGTTGAGATCACCCGGACTCCATTCAGAGGAGAAGGAATCCAATTGCTGGCTAAGGGAGCCATGTTAATGTGAGAGTCCAGTAGGTCCAGAGAAGGCATGAGAGCCACGTGAAAATGTCACGTGGAGGAGAAATTAGATTTGTTCTGTGGCTCACAAGGGAGTAGGATAGGACCTCTGGTAGGAAGCCACAGGAAACAGTTTGAGCTTAAAATAAAAACTATCAGAATTGTCCCAAGGTACAATGAGTTATACATCAATTAGCGACTGTTCCTTGAGAGCTAAAGATTGGGTGGGGATGTTGTAGGAGAAGTGATTTTTAACTTCAGAGAATAGGTTTGAGGAAGTAGAATTGTTTCACCCAAAGAAAGGAGGATAGGAACAGAGGAGGGGTTATAACTGATGAACTGACCTGCAGTCTAGGATAGCTGGGATAAAAGAAAATGGCATTAAGTGCAATATAACAGAGGGTTTTTTCTTTTTCTTTTTCTTTCTTTTCTTTCTTTCTTTCTTTCTTTTTTTTTTTTTTTGAGGCAAGGCCTCACTCTGTCACCCACACTGGAGTGCAGTGGCATGATGTCGGCTCACTGCAACCTCTGTCTCCAGGGCTCGAGCAGTCCTCCCACCTCAGCCTCCCAAGTAGCTGGGATTACAGGCATGAGCCACCACACCTGGCTAATTTTAAGAACATTTTTAAATTTTCTTAAAAGTATAGTAGAGACCAGCTCTTTCTATATTGCCCAGGCTGGGCTTTTTCTTTTTAAAATCATAAATAACTTCCTGATGATAGCAGGAGACAGTGAGAAGGGTGGCAAGGGAAAAGCCCTGGGATTTCGTACCCTGAATGTATTTTAAATTAGACTAAATCCTCTCTTGGTTGACGGGCATCTGCTTGAAGCCAGCAGTGGGACTGACCTCTTACAGTTTTCTCTCTTCTAAAATTTCTGACTTTAACATGTAGTCATTCTTCGGTATGCTTCGGTTTGAATTATAGCAGAAAAATAAATCAGAACCAAGTTTGAATCCCAGCGGTCAGGCAGAGAGATTAGCCATCCTGGGAGGCCAGTGAGGTCAGGGGATGAGCGATATGAGGGGCAGGGCATGTGGCATGTCACAGCTTCTCCCCGGCCTGCACAGCCTTGGTCCCACTGCCTCTGGAGGAACATGGACCTGATAATACCATAGCAGTCTCTGGCGCTGAGGTGATGTGGCCCCGGCCAGAGGAAAGGCTGGTGATGCTGAGTTAACTGTGGGCCCAGACTGCCTGGATTTTGTTTCTGGATGCTTTGCCTAATTTAGATCTGAGTCCTTCTGTCTCAGAGATGTGACTGCTCTCAGTACTTCACAGTGTATTCTTTATATGTTCTTTATCATCCTCCTCCATGTCCTTGTGTGGGTTAGGCAGCATCCACTCTCGTTCTTGCATAATAAAAGCGGAAACTCAGAAAGGCGTGGCTTGTCCCCAGATCAGACATGAAGAAGGTCTGAGTCAGGAAGGCCACCTAACTCCTGGGGGCTGTTCCTCAGTTTCCTGGCCTGTCTCCCTTGATGAGTGGTGATGGGAGATACTGCACGGTGTTGGTTCATTACATGTCTGGCTCTCCCATGATGATTGTGGATTTCTTAGAGTCAGAGGCAATATCCCCAATGCCTAGACTTTTACCTGGCATGGGCATAGAACGTGGCCCTCACCAACTGTTTGATGGGTGGATGGATGGATCCTGTAGGTTTTAGTAGCAGCATTTCTCTTGCTGAGGATGGGGGAGGGGCCCTTGATGAGCAAACACAGGAGAAGCTGAAAGTTCTATTCAGTTGAACTCCTCGCCTTGTTCCAGTGGTCTTGGCCTCCCAGTGGATTGGAAATCTCTTTTGAGGAAGGGGCTTCCTGGGAGAGTTTAGCGCCTTTCTGCTTTCACAAGGTTCCATTCCCTTGAATGTTGAGGCTTCTGAAATACTTTGGGTGGGGTTGTACTTAAAGAGTTGACTGATATTGTTAGAGGCAAGTTTATTATATACTTTTATTTTATTAATGTAATTTCATATTTTATTTTATTTTGAGAAAGGGTCTCACTCTGTTGACTAGGCTGAAGTGTAGTGGTGTGGCCATAGCTCACTGCAGCCTTGAATTCCTGGGCTCAGGTGATCTTCCCGCCCCAAACTCTGAATAGCTGGGACTACAGGCATCTGCCACCATGCCTGGCTAATTTTTCTTTTTTTTCTTTTTTCTTTTTTTTTGTGGAGATGAGTTCTTGCTATGTTGCCCAGGCTGGCCTCAAAGTCCTGGCCTCAAGCAGTCCTCCCACCTCAGCTTCCCAAAGTGCTGGGATTACAGGCATGAGCCACTGCAACTGGCCATAGAGGCAAGTTTAAAAGTATTAAGTTCTTACTGTGTGCCCAATATCACATTTACTATCGTGTGGGCACAAACAACCATAACACTGTTGCTGTCCTATTGGGCCCTCAGGATGAATATGTAATACAAAGTTAGAGGTGCTCCAATGATTCTTGCTTAATGACATTGAATCAGCAAGGTTAGGTTAATTTCTAAAGACTATTAAAATCAGAGATTTGGACAGATAGTGATCACTGAGAGTCTTGGAGGAATGAGGACTGTGGCACGTAAGAGTGCCATTAGAGCTGCCCCGACACGTAAGCAGCTGGCCAGTGGGAGCTCTGTCGGTAGAAATCTGAAGCAGAGGCCCGGTGGCCCAATGGCCATTGCAGAGGGAGCCCTGCATCCAGTGGGAGGATGGATTACATGACCACTATGGGCTCCTTCCAAACTACAGACTATTGTAGATCAGCTCAGCCAATGCTCAGCCTGCGAACCCAGCAGGACTGTCCCCTAAATGGTAGGCATTTGTTCTGTTGTGAACAATCTCAGGAAAAGGAAATTGTACAACAGCAGTAAGTTCTTATCTTTGATTTCAGTATCTTCTGCTTCATCTTAAGTCTTTATTGTCCCAGCCCTGTAGATGTAGGAGCTAGCTGAATATGTGCCTAGCGACAATCTGTACTCTGATCCCGTGTCTTTGCCACGTGGAAAGGACTGAATTTAGGAACAGGATTCAGTTTCTTAACTGGGAATTCACATTCCACTGCTAATCCTGTTTCACTCCATGAGCAATTATAGGAAGCTCTTTACTTTTGGGATGCATGGTCTAATTAGGTTTATTATTTAAAAGATTCTCACTCCAGGAAAATAGGTTGTGATCATGCAACAGACAAAAAACACAGGTGCATAGAAAGAAAAAGTGATTTTCTCAAGGGCACCAGTCAGCTCAGGATTTTAAAATCGGGTACCCTGATGTCTAGACAGTGACAAGGCTAGCAGAGAGTCTGGAAGTGATGTCATATTTTAGTTTTCATGGACCCAAGAGCCAGAAAAAGGACTAAAAGGCTGGCCTTTTTAAAAAAACCAGATTTAGGGCCAGCTTTAGAAAGACATGTCTATCAGAGTGGCTGAACGATGGAATGAACGGCTTTAAGAAGATCCCATTTTTAAAAATTCAAGGGCTATAAATCTGCAACCCCAGTGTGTGCCAGTCATTTTGCTGGAGGTACTGGGGAAGCACACACAGACATGGCCCCAGCCCCCATGGAGTGCTCAGCCTGGTGGTAAGCAATGAAACAGCAACAACAAAACAAGACAATTTCCGCTCCTGCAAGGGCAGTGAAGGGAAACAGGGCCACGTGGTAATGATTGCCTGGGGTTAGGAAGGCCACTTTATTTATATGGAGTGGTCCTTCAAGAAAGTCTACTCTGAAGAGGTGACATTTGAGCTTTGATCTGAAGGCTGAAAAGGAACCAGCATTCAAAAGTTTAGAGTAAGAGTTCCAGGGGGTGGGACTAACAAGTGCCAATATCCTAGGGGAACCGGGTTTGTTCAAGAAAGAGAAAGGTCCAGGGAGGCTGGAATAAAATGAGGGAGGAAACAGTGCACGACGAGTTGAGGAAATAGTTGGAGTCTATAAGAAGTTGGATAGTTGGTCATTAAGTCCTTCTCTTAGGGGATATGAACCTTCTCCCCAGCTGCTTCGGAGGCGGAAGCAGAATAGATTTACTGCAGACGATGAGCCCTTTGGGTAAAGTGATTTATGTCTGATTTCTGATGCTGGTTCTGTAGCATTATCAGTGTTTTCAAAGATAGTTCTAATTTATTCCTCTTTGAAATATCCGTAGAGATAACAGGAACTCTTGCATTTTTCTCCTTGGCTGTGGCAGGACCCAAACAAACTTATTTTGTTTTTGTAGGAAGGGGGAAAACTGGGTCAGCCTGTTTTGTCATTTCAGGCATGGAGTCCTGGTTCTATTGCAGGGCCTTGTCTCCATGGAAATGAAAAATAGTGTTTGTCATGCCTGTTCCTGGATTGAATTCCAAACTCTGGACTGAACAGAAGCTGTAGGAAAGCCAGGCAGCAGGGGGGCGTGGGGTGATGGAGACTCCAGCCATGGTGATGAAGGACCTCTTCTCCTTGGCCTGAGCAGGGAAGGCAAACAACCTTTGCCCAGGTCCAGCTCTTCCTATCGCCTCTCTGGACTGAGAACGCCAGTAGAAGGGTAACTGAAGTTCTACTTTTCTCTACTTCGCCAAAAACGTTCCATGGACTTTGCCCTTATGTTAATTAGTCAATTAATAAATTCATCAACAACCAAAGTCACTGCTCAGACTTTCCCTTGCACCCAGTAATTCCTTCCAGGGTTGAGGAGATCCCTAATGAGACTATGTCTAGGTATTAAATTAGTCAGCTGGCTGCAAATGTTTTGGATGGGCTCTCCCACCTTTAAATTTCTTTGTAAAAATTTTTTTTAAGTTTTGGGTTTCTTTTTTTTTTTTAACTTAAATATTTATACAAGACAAGGAAGGAGGAATCAGTAAGTGGGGCTTGTTGCCCATAAGAAGTGCCCTGAATTATCTACTCAGTATTTACAGAGATAGGGCACATGAGGGACAGAGTGCTGAAGGAGGTAGGGGGATGGGTCGTGTGGACGCTGAGTGAATGTTTGGATGGCCCACAGTGGCTGGTTCATGAGCGTGGAGAATTGTCAGCCTTCCATTTGTAAGGTGTCTCTACCGGTGGTCTGGACCTGGCAACAGTCCAGTTCCACCTTTGGTCCAAATTTTGGACAAACCGTGTCCCTGAACACCTTGTATATTTCACCCAAGAGCCCGATTTGGAAAGGCCTCCAGGAATTTCCACAAGTTACCCAAATGGAGGAGAGGGGACAAGAGGTTCATTTCTGTCCAAATGTTGCCTTTGCAGCAGGTAGGGAAGGCCCATTCTGTGTCAAATCTGCAGATGGCATTTGTAGGAACTGTGACAGGGAAGAAAGGCGTTAGCTTGGGAGCCCTTTCCCTTTCTGTCCCTTACTGAAATGCAACCGGCTGCTAAATCTAGGCCAAAGTGTGGCACACCTGGACCAGGCTGAGACTCTGCTTTAGTGTAAGTTTGGGAGGAGAACTTCTACGCTGTAGGGGAAAAAAAGCATCTCTTTTCAAAGCTGTTCTGGTCCCTTCTTTCAAACAGGTAATCATAGCTTGATTTTCTCCCCTAGAAAGGGAACTGGACCCGGTGGCATTTATCACCAGGTTTAGATGCCAGTGATAGGCACACAGAGAGCAGGTTCCATGCAGGGTCACAGGGAGCTCCTCTTAGAACAGTGCAGGTCTTATCCTTTTGAACCCCAGCCCCATCCAGCATCCTGAAAAGCGTGTAGGTGGGGAAGGGGAGGCACTGAGATTGGCACTGTTAGGTGCCTGAGTCTGAGCTGTGAAGGGGAAGAACCATCCTGCTGTCTGTTAACTCCTTGGTGGACAGTTGTGTCATCTCCTTGGACCTTTTGTATTCACAGCAGTGAGAGGGTTGGACCTGAAAGGCCCTTTCAGCTCTTTCTCTGAACCAGTCAAATCTTCTGGGAACTTGGGACTGTGGGTTTATTTTCATGAGTAAAAGGAACTGAGACCAGGAACTTCAGGGGTTTATGACAAGGAGGTCACTACCAGTGACCTGGTAGTTTGCTATCTAAGGAGGAGGCTCCAAGGGGAGTTGGAGGCCCTGCTGGTATTTGTGATTTGGGCTATTCACTCCCCTCTACAAGGTTCTGGTTGGGTCTGCCCTTGCCACCTGCCGTGACATGGGCACAGAATGTAGACTCTAGCAAGTGACTAGCAATAATACAGAAAGAATAACCATCTTCATGGAGTCCTTGTAGACTCTGAATTTGGAACTGGTTTAGCGGGGCAGACCTACAAATGGAGGCATTGGCAGGCAGCATGTAAATTTCATGCAAATGTTATACAGATACACCCGTGGCTCTTCTCTCTCAGCCACTTGAGCATGTGCTATGGGAAAATTCAAAGGGGAGCTGGCTAATTCATATGGATATTTGTGATGGCATTATGAAGAACTGAGGAGGATTATTAATGAAACTCTGGAATCAGCATGGGGATAGGACATGTGCAACTAGGTAACAGGGTAGTCTTCTCTTAGGAATTAGGGACTAGTCATCGGCCTTTAACCCCATGCTACAAATGGCAGGGACAGAGGAGATGCTTGTGATATGGCTGTGGTCCTTGGTGCCAATGGTAATCGTTAGGCTCCTACACCAAAAGGTGATGTCCCATCAGGTTCTGCCCACACCTCATCATCTCCACGTCAGATTCTTTCACATTAGCAATTCCTATGACAAGCTCAGATGCTTTTACTATTCCAGCAGGTCCACCTACCTGGTGGACACTGCACAGCTGTTATACCCAGAGTTGTAAACAGGTCTCTGTCACCTGGGCAGATACGTCACTCACTCCTTGATACTTAGGAGATAGTTTCTTGGGAGTGTAGTGGTTCTCAACCTTCAAAGTGCTTCAGAATGAACTGTGATACTTATTTTGAAATGCAGATTCCTAAGGCCATCCACTGGAAAGTTTCATTTATTGGGGGAGTGGGGCGTGGTGTCAGGTGAAGGCTGGGATTCTGCATGTTAAGGAAGCATCCTTTGTGTTCCTGGTTCCTACTATGGGAAGTGGTGCTTGGGAGCATCAAAGCCTCTGAGGAAAGGGGACGAGGATATTTACTCCATATTTTACAGAGAGGAACAAGAGTCTTTTTGTTTGTTTGTTTGTTTGTTTGTTTTTGAGATGGAGTCTTGCTCTGTCCCCCAGGCTACAGTGCAGTAGCACAATCTCGGCTCCCTGAAACCTCCACCTCCTGGGTTCAAGTGATTCTCTTGCCTCAGCCTCCTGAGTAGCTGGGATTACAGGTGTGCACCACCATGCTCAGCTAATTTTGGTATTTTCAGTAGAGATGGGGTTTCACCCTGTTGGTCAGGCTGGTCTCAAACTCCTGATCTCAAGTGATCCGCCCACCTCGGCCTCCCAAAGTTCTGGGATTACAGGTGTGAGCCACGGCGCCCAGCCAAGAGCCTTCTTAATGATAGCAGCAGCTCAAAAATATTTATGGAGTGTACCAAGCACTGTGCTAAATCGTTTACTTAGGTTATTTCATTTAACACAATAGTCCTATGAGATAGGTGTTTGTATCTCTCATTACCAGTGCTCCTGGCACTGGGATGATTACAGCCATACATTTGATCATCCAGGTCACTGTAGGGCTGGGCTTAGAAGAAACAGTGAAGTCAGCACTTCATTGCAGTGTTCAGGTGTGGGAAGCGGGGCTGAGAGTCTGATTGGGAACGCGCCAGGGCTGGGGCAGCCAGGGCGTGCACTGCAGAGGGAAGTAGGAAGGAGCAGCTGCAGTCCAAACAGGTGGAGGCACCGGGGGACAGAGAGACAGGTATATATTTTGCAATATCTGGGGCAGAAATGATTTTCTCTGAAGGCAAACAAGTTAACTCAAGTGAGGCACCCCGGAACGCCAACTAACTATTCTGCTCTTCTCAGGATTCTGCAAAATGCACGGTTAGCTGATCAGGGAGCTGGCTTGCTGACAAGGTCTGCCTTGTGCCTACAGGACCACACCGGGGATAAGGACGAGGAAGAAAGCCAAGCAAAGTGGTGTAGCGGCCACTGTGTCTGAGATGGGCGCGGGGGGTGGGGGTGGGGGCAGGGATGCTGCAGAGGGTCACTGAAGAAAGCCTGAAGAGTCCTCGTCTTCTTTCTCTACTTCCCTTTTCTCAAGGACATCAGCTGGACCTAACTATAGGAGGTAGGATCGAACCGTAGGTAGCATGAGATACTGTGGTCAGACTTCAGGGAGTACTCTTTGCTAGTAAGGTAACCAGGGGAGGACAGCAATAGCCTGTGTTGGAGATTTTTAAAAATAGGGGAAATGGGGGAATAAATGAATGACCTCTGGGGCCCCTGCCATGGCTTAAAGGTGGCTGGTGGGGGTCTTAGAGGACCTATTATGAGTGAGAGCTGATGATTACAGGAATCTCTAAAACATCAGCTGAAGCATGTTATACTTGGTGACACATGGTTTCTGTCAGTGTTCGATATATCCCATGCTGTTTTATGCCTTTTCACCCTTGTTCGTGCTGTCTGCCACCCCCCCACATTCTCTTCTCTCCTACCATGCCCTCCTTGAACCCCATACCTTTCACCTGGCTAGCTCCAACACATTTTCTGAATCTAGCACAAGTGCCACATCCTCAAGGCAGCATTTCTCTTTTTCCTTTAGTCTCTTCTATCATCCCACTTACTGACTATATTAACACGAGAAGAATAGGCCCCCAGCTCTTCCTGACTAGTAATGTCCCAAGCACACAGATCCTTTCTTATTCACAAAAATGAACTTGAATGCCTCATATTATGCCAGGAGATATTTGTGGAACTGAAGAGCCAGATCCAAAGTCATATCACCTTGTCCAGGCATTTAACCCGCTAGACTCAGGTTTCTTACATGTGAAGTTGACGGTTGAATATACTAACCCTAACCTCTGGGAGGGAGTCTTAGTCCCATAGCCCATCTAACACCAGCCTTCATTCCATCCCTACAGCAAATGTAAGGTCTTTTTTATTTTTAGCTCTTAAATCCCAAGATTTTGAAATCCTGTTATGAATAATGGTGGCAGGGTCAGATGAATGGCACATTATAAAGTTTGTTTGAAACTTTATGTTTATGTTATATGTTAGAAGATACTCAGGAATTGGTTTTATTTGCTCAGCAGGACATCCAAATCTATGGGATAATGGGTTATCTTGTAGGAGTTTCGGGACTCTAGCAAGTTTAGTGCTGACTTTGCTGACTTAGAACTAGAACTGCAAACATTTCTTCTTTTATAGAGAAGGATCAGAGTGGAGGTAGAGCACCGGGTGGGGACACGTAACGGGTATATGTGGGCTTAGTCTGGAAGTGTAGATGTCCATCAGGTGATTGGAGGGACAGAGGGAAAGAGAGAGAGAGAGAGAGACAGAGAGAGAGAAAGAGATTGCTAAGACATGGAGACATGGAAGAGTGAGTGTGCATGGTAAAAGGATCTGCAGACAGACCCCCATGACTGAGGCAGAGGCACAGATAGACCCCGATGGCTGAGGCAGAGGCACAGATAGACCCCGATGGCTGACACAGAGGTGCAGATAGACCCTGATGGCTGACACAGAGGTGCAGATAGACCCTGATGGCTGACACAGAGGTGCAGATAGACCCTGATGGCTGACACAGAGGTGCAGATAGACCCTGATGGCTGAGGCAGAGGTGCAGATAGACCCTGATGGCTGAGGGTGAGGCACAGATAGACCCCGATGGCCGACACAGAGGCACAGATAGACCCTGATGGCTGAGGCAGAGGTGCAGATAGACCCCGATGACTGAGGCAGAGGTGCAGATAGACCCCGATGGCTGATACAGAGGCACAGATAGACCCCGATGGCTGATACAGAGGCACAGATAGACCCTGATGGCTGACACAGAGGTGCGGATAGACCCCGATGACTGAGGCAGAGGTGCAGATAGACCCTGATGGCTGACACAGAGGTGCAGATAGACCCTGATGGCTGAGGCAGAGGTGCACATAGACCCTGATGGCTGACACAGAGGCACAGATAGACCCTGATGGCTGACACAGAGGTGCAGATAGACCCTGATGGCTGAGGCAGAGGTGTGTTGGAAAGGTAGCCAGTGTTGGGGTTTTCAGAGGTGGGCTGAGTGAGATAATTGAGGAACATATAGTCTAGAGTTCAGGTTTTATTCCACAGAGGGTGGGAAATTATAGGGGTCATCAAAAAGGATGAAAAAAATGCCAAATCCTCTTTTTAGAAAGTTCACTTTGACAGGAAAAGAGAGAATGGATTGAAGCCTGGAGGCAGGAAGTTGATTCCTTCTTTCTTTGTACTCACCCAGCTACCCACTGTCTTTCCATCTGTCTATCTTTCTATCCACCCGGCAAACAAACACGACTGCATGCCTGCTTCTGAGAATGAGCTTGACAATCAGATAGGCCTATGTTTGAAATCTTGCCCTGCCTCCCATCCATCTGTGTGACTTTGGGTGCATTACTTAATCTGTCAAGAATCCAAATTTATCACCTGAAAAATGGGACTAACAATACTATTCGTTGCAGCTTCATGGGTTGGTTGGGGATTAAATGAAATAATATTTAATAAGTACTTGGTGCTACACCAGGAGCACATGAACACTCAATAATGTTTAGCTATTTTGATGAATATTAGCAGGTTGAAGGTACAGATTTGCGAGCCATCTTGATATTCGGGATTGGTAAAGCCAAGGGGGTGAAGACTGTCACTAGGGTGGGATTCAGCTCAGTGGAACACATGCCACTGACACAGCCCTGCTGGGCCGTGTGGGGCGTGCAGAGGGCTGTGCCTCCAGGAGTTTGTAGGTCCTTCATACCAGGCTATGTGCGTTCAATGCTTTGGTCAGCTCTGTGGGAGAGGTGTGGAAAAGCTTTTTGGAGCAAGTGGGATTTGAGATGGGTCTTGAAGAATGAACAGGAAAAGCAAAAAACAAAAAACAAAACAAACAACAACAACAACAAACAGAATGAGCAGGACTCCAGCAGCAAGATGAGGAGGGCAAGGGCTCTTTCGGCTCAAGTAGTGAGTCGTATGGGAGTTTGGAGGCAGGAGAAAGAGCATGTATATTAAGGGAATTGGGGGAAAGTGTGTAAGTGTGGAATATGCAAGCCCTTTAAGAGCATATAAGGAGAGAAAAAGCATAGAGGTGTCATTTACTTTTAGCAGAGAACTTTAGATTCCATTTTGAGGATTTTGGACTTTAATGTGGGAGCTAGTAGAGCATAGTAAGGTGTTGGGCTTGTATTTAGAAAGATTAATGACACAGCTGTGAGTGAGTAGGAAGAAGAAAAGGAGGCAGAGAAGACCACTTAACCGGCTCTTTATTGGAAGAGGGTGGGCAGAATTCCTTGAACCTGAACTGGGGCCCTGGGGAAGGAAGGGAAGGATGAGGTAGAAAACTTTGTAGAAATAGAATTAGTGGAATTCAGTGACTCCTTTTTTATGGAGTGAGATGGAAGCGAGGGCTCTGCGGCCTGAGAAACCTGGTAGTGAAATTGCCATCAAGAATGGGCGGTCATGGGAGGAGATCTGGAAGGAAAGATGTCCAGCTCTGTATTCAGTGTGAGGCGCTCACGAGACATCATCTGGAGGAAGCCTCCGCCTGGCAGCTGGTGGTTGGGTTAGGCTAGCGACTGTGACCAGGGCCGGAAGCAGGTAGAGGAGTCTCTGCCTGGTTGGAGTTAGAGAAACCTGGAGACGGCCAGGGAAGTGACAGACTCACCTTTAGGGAAGGATTAATGTCAGGCTGGGTGGCAAGAGTCGAGACAGGCAGAGGAGTAGAAGAGAGGTGCGTGTCATCAGGGAGAAGTTTCCAAGAACTGCACAGATGATCAGCAGCCTTAAGAGCAGAGAGACGGTGTAAGTTGTTTATTGGCTGATGTGTTGAGGGCAGCATTTTAGGTGTGTAGATCTTTGCATGGTATGTGGAGGGTGGGCTGAAGTGGGGCTGCTGGGCGGTGAGGAGTTCTCATGCTTGGATCATTTCATGTGAGATTCATGTGGTTTTGGATAGTTGGAGTCAGTTGCCTCCAGGTTAGAATGTGTTGCCTACCTCTTGCTTGAAGCCAGTTAGCAGGGATTCTGGGTTTGGGGAAGGATGAAGGCATCTCTTTACCATTCCAGGGTCTGGAATTTGTGAAGATGTCCCTCATCTAAGGAAAATACACAACGGCTGTGGGGCCATTGTGTCTGATAGGCATGTGTTTGATTGTCATCCCTTTTCTAGTTCTTTTGAGACAGAATCTCACTATGTTGCCCAGGCTGGTCTCAAACTCGTGGTCTCAAATGATCCTCCCTGCCTGAGCCTTCCAAGTAGCTGGGATTACAGCTCATGCCACCACTCTCAACTTCTCTAGTTCTTTTTTGAGCAAACTACTATAGTTGGGGCTAGAGGGTAGAGGTCCCCATTGTTTTAGTAATATAATCCCGGAAGACAGTTTAAACCTTTGAATATGTGGCTGTGGGCTGGAGTTGGCCCTCGAGCAAGGAGGCTTACCCCAGAAAGATGTGTATTGGCACCTGCTCTCCACGCTTCCCGAGGGGTTGTGCACTCAGGCATCTGCCTGCCACCAGCCCCATGGCCTGGCATTTCCAACCAAAGAAAAGGAATGTACCTTCCTTTCTCCAGGGTTTATGGTAGCAAACGAGTTTAGAGGGTAAGGATAAGGAATGGGTGGGGCAAAAATGGACCTCCCCCAATAACAATTATTGTTGGTATTAGGAATGAGATTTTACATGTAAATTCTGTTTTAGGATGCAGTGGAACATTGGGCCTTGCTTTTCTCCATACATATTTGGGACACATTTATCTTCCTTTTCTCTGGTCTCCTTTTTTTTTTTCTTTTATCAGTTTCCTTCCAAAAGTTACCCCACTGCCTGCCCCCAGCTTCCCTTCTGCCCACACTTGCTGGGTTAGGCTCTTGGAATTTGTTCCCTTCTCTCTGCTAAGGATGCCCAGGTGGAAGGTTTTGCTGAAAGGGGCATGGTTTTCATTGCAAATGGGGCCAATGGAACATCTGAGGTCACAGCTGCATCTTCATGCAAATGACAGTGTCCCCAGCCCTGCACCCCACTCCCCAAGGGAAGGCTGGGATGCAGCCTGCAGCGGGGTCCAGGGTGTTCCTGAAGCCTGACCCGGCAGAGAGATTGCTGAGTGGGTGGGCAGGACACCCCTCCGGCCCCATGCTTCTTTGGCTTTCCAATCTCACATTTCCTTTCCTTCCCATTTCTGCTGGCACTTTCTCCTTAGCCTCTCCCTTTCTCCATCTCTTTCCTTTCTCCACTCTCGCAAGCAAAGCAAACATTTAACTGCATTCGGTTTCTCTCTCCCCTCTGTCTCTCATCTCTTTTTCTAGTCCATTGAAAACAGAGGTGAAATATCAAATAGTCAATATTTTATTTGTAGTTTATAAGCCTTGGTGTAAGTGGATTTGGTCCTGTGGGAAGTACAAGGTACTTATTGGGAATAAATGTTGGGATATGGGGATATGGAATGTGAGAACTTCGGCTGTGCGCATCTTCCACCCGGGCAGAGGAAGCAGGAACCCACATGGCTTCCTTACAAGCAAATAATATGGTGCGGGTGAGTTACAAATCAGAAGAGGCGCACTTTGTTTCCAAAGCCCTCTGTGATCAGCGGGCATTTAGCGTCCCTCTGCCAGGCATTGGTCTTCATTTTTTAACATAGGGATTATGGTACTTGCCATTACTCCCTTGGTGGAATGTTTTAAGCAATAATGCGTACGTGAAGGCTGTGAAAAACAGGATTGTACTTGTTATTGTCATGAACAAAAATGTCTGAACAAAATATAGAAGCTTTGCATTTGCAGCATGTATAAAATGAGCCGATTATATTGGATGGTCTCCAGTGAGCCTTTCAAGTATTAAATTCTATATGCCCCAGACAATTTTTGGCGTATCATAGGGGCTCAAACAATAATGGGTTGGACGGACAGATGGATGGATGCATGTCTAAATGTCAGTTGCCCATTGGCCTCCTGCGTCTGTGTCATGGCACTGACACTGTGCCCATGGCACATGGGCACTGCTGCCCTCCCGTGGCCAGCGGCAGTATTACGGTGCGGCAAGCCGCAGCCTGGGCCCCTCTCCCGGTTTCTCCCCAGCCCCTCACCTGGCTCCCTGAGCTGGCTCCTTTGGACTTGTCCTTGGCCTCGATCACTGACTGCCTGCCTTTCCTCCTCCTTCTCTTTCCACCCCGCTCCCTCTCTCCATCTGCCGCTGCAGCACTGCCAGTAACTCCAACCGCAGCACTCCGGCCTGCTCGCCCATCCTCCGGAAGCGGTCTCGCTCGCCAACCCCGCAGAACCAGGACGGAGACACCATGGTGGAGAAGGGCTCAGATCACTCCTCGGACAAGTCCCCGTCCACGCCGGAGCAGGGCGTGCAGCGCAGCTGCTCCTCCCAGTCCGGCCGGAGCGGCGGCAAAAATTCCAAGGTGAGCGGGACCCCATTGGAGGCGGTACCTCCTTGTCAGGGGCTGCAGGAGCGATACTGGGGTGGTGAGCTGGAGAACACCTGCAGGGTCCTCACGTGATTAACAGCCCTGACGGCCCAGAGACAGTCGTTATCCAGTGAGGTGAGGCGGGACAGGCAGGAGACACCCTAGTTCAGTGTCTTCCCCGCTAAGCATTCTTGGCGGGCTGGGCGAGGTAGGGAGGCTCATATTTTTTTTTAGCTTTGGAGGGGAGATGCTCTGGGAATCATTAGGGGGTCATCTGCTTATTCCTGCTACCGTTTTCAAATTTGGTCCCTGGAGCGGGGGGTAGAAGGGAACATTATTTGGGACAGCTATACTGCTAGGGAGAGTCCTCAGGGAACCTTGCAGAATGCTCTTTTTAACCTCCTCCCTGGCCGTCATTCCTGCCTTACCTTTGCACTAATCCACTTGCTACTCACCTGGCAGAGAGGAGGGTGGCAGGGCCTCTCCATCCTCCCAAGGATGTCAGCACTGCCGCCTGAGTACCGGGGCCCTTGGCCCATGGATAGGCCCAAAATAGGCCCGGGGGGTGGGGGCCCTGGGCTAGTTATGGTTCCCCAGAGATGTCCTCCCCCACCCTCGGTCCTCTGGGGAACAGGAGATGTCTTTGTCCAGGGGCTCCTTCAGGAAGCTTTTCTTCACCCTGGGACCCCCAGGGCCTGGGAAGGGGTAATTGGGGACCCCTGGGAGGCATGGGAGCTGGCTTCCCACTTGAATTTGTTTTTTGATTTCTTGTTCTTCCTCTTCTTCCCCACCATTTCCCAAATACCTTCTTTGCATGCATGGTCTTAGTCTCACAAGCGCCTCTCAAAAGTAAGCCATCTTTTGTCTCTGTCCTTTTATCTCCCCTCTAGTGTCGATCTGTCTGTAGTGCTCAGCACCCCCTCCCTTAGCCCTGCCAATTCTGGCCCTTATATCCTGCTTGGTCCCCTTCCCAGAAGGGCCGGCCCCACTGTCCCCCGGCAGGCTGGCTTAGAAGTCATTGAAGGCCCATTTTCACTGCACCTGATGTCGGAGTACAGACCCTCCCCCACTCCCCACCCTGCACCCATGTCTGCCTGCTCCCTGGACACTGCCTCTGGCTGGGAGTTTATTCCCTCCTTATATGGTGCGGTTGAGAAACAGAGTCCTGCTTGGCATTAGTTTCATTCCTTTGGGGCAGGAGACCCCATCTGGTCATATTGCAGGCCCCTCCCCTTTGGTGGTTGATTCTGGATTGCCCAGCAGTGGTGAGTGAGGATGGCAGGAGGGCTGTGCTGATTGAGGGGCAGGGGTTCAGGTCAGTGAGTTCCTTGGTGCAGCAGCCACGCCCTCAGGAGCTCTGCGTGCATGCTCTGTTCCTATCCACTCGAGAGCTGCTCAGCCTGGGCACCCCTTAGCGTTTCTACCCACTGCCCAGACTGGGGCTCATGGAGTGCTTAGGATCCTGAATCATGATCAGAGTGGGGAGCTCTTCTCCCAGAGGGTGGGGTGCCAATGCCTGGAGGTTGGCAAACATTGGCAGACCCTGGAAAGATGTGGTTGGTGCCAGAGTCTTTCCCGGGATCCCAGGAATTCTGAGGCCCTAGGAGAACATGCAGTGAGTGGAGGGTGAGCGCTAGGTGTTGGGGAACAGCAAGGCCCATGGGCCAAGGGGGTGGGATGCAGCCTGAAGAAGGGGAAGCCGAGGATGACTTAATAGTCCCAAGCCTCTCAGAGCTTTGGGGAGGAGGAGGGTGAACAGCTGGTTCCCTTTCCTGAGGGAAGGACAAGGGGCAACACGGCTAATCCTGTAGTCTGTGACCTTCAGACTAAATGCACATCTTGGCTCTGAGGATTTTAAATGGCCGTCGCCGGCAGTGGACAGGGGAGGAGGAACTTCACCTGGAGCGAGGAAGCCAGCAGGAGATTTCTGTGGGTTCCAGCAGCTTGGCAGGTGCAGGCATGTCTGACATCGGGGGATGGGGTTTTGAAATGCCCTGTGGCAGCCCCTCTTGAGTGTCTCCCACCTCTGGCTTGATGTGGGACTAGTGGGTGCTCGAGGCTCAGTTGGCAAGAGGAAGGATATGGCCTGACACGGGCATCGGGCTCCCCGCTCCCCGCTCCTGCACACTTTTCCATCCAGACTCTGTACACCCCAAGCCTGACTCTTGAGTGGCTGGGGATGTTCTGTAAGCTCCGAGGCAGGATGAATCATTTGAATGGGGTAGCCAGGACAGGCGTCAGGGACCAGGTAGAATTCTGAGTGGGATTTTGGAGAGGCTAAAAGGAGACATAATGAAGGGACTGAGAGCCAAGCAGGAATCAGGAGCCAATCTGGGCCTTTTCGTAGGAACTGAGGAGGGAGGGGCTGGAGTGAGTGCAGGTCTCCTTTCTCCTGGGAGATTGGGTGGATGTCACGCCCATCCCTGGCAGACACATTCTGAGTTTTCTGACATTGGTTCCCCACTTCCCCACCTCATTCTCCCACTGATCATTGCCATTGACACCTGCCCTGCCATCCTTTCAATGGAGTTAAAATAGGACGGGCTCGTGCGAGGAGGGACACCGTAGTATCCCAGGTGGAGCTGGGAGCCGCTGTATTGGTCTGGGACGTGCATGTGCGGGACACACAGACTTCAGAAGAGGAACACTAGAACCAGTAGGGGAATTAGGCTCTTTGAAGGCCAGGGCCTGGAGCAGATGGTGCAGCGAAAAGAGGAGGGTCTGGTAGCGGGATGGGGACATGCCCCTCCCCAGTGGAACTTCTTCTGGGGTTAATCACATGTATTCCCAGCAAGTCATTTCATAGCTGTTTTTACTGATACTGTTGTAGCTAGTCCACCTCACTCCCTGTCTCCTGGCTACCCCAGAGGACACCATGCCTTATATTTTTTGGGCAAGCTGGCCAGTGCCTCTGCTTCTCCCTGGGTCCCATGCACGGGATCTTTCTTTTCTTCTCTGGGCCTCAGTTTCCTCATTTGCTACTATGTAGGCATGGCACCAGGTGATCGCTAAGGCCCGACCCCTCTGGATCCATCACTGTGCAGCCCGGGGCGAGCCCTCCTAGGCGCAGCCCTGCCCCAGCACTTCCTTCCCGATGAGTTTGTGCTGCTGCCCAGCTTCCGCCCTGTAGTGACAGCCTGTGGCCACCAGAGGGAGCGAGGGGCCATTCTACCGCTCTCCCACCTGCCCTGAGGGCGGGCGCAGCAGGTGCGGCAAATCACGGCTGCTCCTGCCCAGCTGCACGCCTCCCGCCCTCCCGCCGCGGCGCGGGCATCGCCCTCGCGCCGTGGCACTGACCCTCCTTTGACTTTCCTTTTTTTTCAAACCTAATTTTTGTGATTTTCTTTCCAGTATGACAGACTTAACCTGATCAAAGTAAGAATTGTTTTTTATTTCTAACTCCTACTAAATGTAGAGCTCCCCTAGTCCCTGCCCGCCCCCCGCCACACCCCGCACCTTAATCTTCCAGACTCCCAGAGCCTTTGCAGTGCGAGATGTTTCTGGAAACCACCTCCCAGTAACCTGGGTCTGTTTCCAGGGGCCTTGCATTCCGATAAGTGCTTGCTTTTCAGACCTTCTAGGGAAAATGATAGAAATGAGCGTGTCCCCAACAGCTGTGTCTTTGTCCTGACTCCCTTCCTCCTCTTTGGCCAAATCCATTTATTATAAGCTGTCAGAGAAGCCTCCATCGCTGCTCCCTGGTTCTGTGCCTTCCTTCCCTCGGACCTGGTCCTCCAGGTAGGGGCTCTACAGCAAACTAAAGCCAGACGACGAGGGGCGCCCCTCCTCACCCTCAGAGGCCTGCAGCTCCTCTGACTTCCCTGCGCCTGTGGGTCTGGGTCCTTCCTGTCTGGCAGCACCTTTGGGACTCATTTGTGGGAATGCAGAACCGCAGGCATTGAATGTGCCTCCAACAGGCTGGGCAGAGTTTGGGGACCGCTGCCCACAGTGGACAGGCTCGGGGGCTGCTTTGGACGTGGCTGGAGGGGAGACCCATTGTTCCTGTGGCCCCTCAGCAGCAGCATGTAAGAAGCCACCTGGAGATTGCTGGTTCAGGGCAGAGCCTCAGCACAGTCCTGCTCCTTGGTATCTTTCACGTTTCTTTTCAGTTCTTTAAACATTGTTCTTATCCACCCTTTACAAAAGAGCAAACATTAGATACAAGGGCATCACAGGGCAAGTTAGAGACAGGACTGGCTCCCCTGCCTGAGGCTGTGTGTGACCCTCATACTTTGTTCCACACAGATTTGGAAGGCACAGGCGCCGACGTGCCAGCCCATGCGAAGGGGCCATCTACTTCTATCTACCTGGGGCAGGAGGGAGCCCCGTGCAGGAGGAGTCACAGGCATCTGGGGTCCCCCTGTCAGCCCATGTTCCTATTGCCCCCTTTCCTGCTAGTGCCTTATACGAAGGTCACGGCATTGATACGAGGAGCTGGGAGCTTGGGAGATGGTTTCTCCGTTGTGAAGCAGATCTCATGACCTGGGTTGCAGTTGAGGAGACTGTGGGGCCGCCGGGGCGGGCCGCTCCCAGAGCGCATCTTCCCACTGCTGGGAGGTGTCTTTTGTAATGAACATCCGCACAGCCTCCTGCCCTGTGGGCTCCGAATCAGGGCTTCTGTGTGAGGACTCGGGAAGGGAGCCATTGCTAGGCGCAGACCCCAGACGCAGCCTGCTTGCCCCATCTACCTCCTCTAGAAGTGGGTAGCCTTGGCTGCAATGCCTAGAGGCGAGTTTTCAGGTTGTGGACTCCCATGTGGCCACACCTTTCTCAGGAAAAAATAGTTTTTAATGTTTGGATTTGGGCCCTTTACCTGCTGAGACCTCTGAATTGGAGGTGGGGATGAAGCTATGATGGGAGGGTGTGGCCTTTGGAAGGACCGTGGTGACAGGCTTTGTTGGGAAGTGACCCTGGAGAGCACCTTGCAGAGGGGGACTTGCCATTGGCCTCTGGTCACATCCTGGCCATCGAGGACATGTGTGAGGGCAAAGCTGCTGGGAAGCAGCCCCACCCGCGCGAGGCCCCTCAGCCCCCTCCAGCTCCTCTGCGGACTGGTGTCACTGTGGGGGGTGAAGGTGGACCATCTTCACAGAGTTCTGGTGGAATGGGGGAGATAGATCACATGACCAGCGGTCATCACTGTGGGCACACACCCACCCTTGGGTACGTAGTCGCTTCCTCCCCTCTAGACACAGCAGACATTCGAGGACCATGGCTGCTCTTGTCTGCCCTTCTGGGTCAGGACGCTTTAACACCACGTGGAGGGGATCCAGACCTCTGGGTAGAGCTAAGGTATTCCACCCAGTGACCCCTAAAACTGCAAATAATCTGAGCTCTACCAAGAGATGGAGCTTAGGCATGTGTGTGTGCATGCACGTGTGTGTGTGTATGTGTGTGTGAATGTATGTCTGTGTATATGTGTGTCTCTGTGTATATGTGTACGTCTCTGTGCGTGCCTGTGTGTATATGTGTGTATGTGTGTATATGTGTGGTGTGTGTGCAAGTGCACATGTATATGTGCATGTCTGCATGTGTGTGTGGTATGTGTGTGTTTGTGTATATGTGTGTACGTGTATTTGTGCGTGTGTGTGGGGTGTATGTGTGCATGCGTGTCTGTGTGAATGTGTGTACGTGCGTGTGTGTGTGCATGTGTGTATAGTGTGTATGTGTGCATGTGTGTGTGAATATGTGTGGTGTGTACATGTGCATGTGTGTATGTGTGTTTGTGTGTGTGTGTGTGTATTTGTGCGTGTGTGTGTGTATGCGTATGAGTATGTATGTGTATATGTGCACACGAGCTTTCCTATCTGCGTGTCCATCTGTCTTTCAAGTGGGATGTACATGAAGGACTACTGGCCGAAGGGCTTGAAGATAGACAAGGCATGATCTTAGCTAGCCCTCCTGTTCCCCTGAGAGACATTCAGGTCCCCTTTCTCCTGGGTCTGGGAATGGAGAACACCTAAGTTCTGGAGCTGGGGTGGGATCTATTTTGCTTGTTTGGAATTATGGCACCACTGGGTTGGAATGGACCCTTCAACCTCCTGCCCCATGCAGAACCCCCAAGCACTCCCCGACCATCACAGTTTAGGTACAGCCCATTTTTTGGCACAGGAGGGATTTGCTCACCCGCCTGCTGAGAGTGCAGTTGGAGGGAGTTTTAGGTAGTCCCCTGTCTACCTCGAAAGTGTCCCACCCTGCCTTTTACAGGGAGCTGTCTTAGAGCAGAAGGCTGGGTTGGCCGCCATCACATTTTGCTTCTGGTCAGGGCCCATTTGGGGACTGGGTCTCGAATGCCCACGTGCGCCCCTCACCCCATCAGAACCTTGCGATGGGGCTCCAGCTCCCTTCTGGTTGAGCTCTAGCTGGTGCTGCCGCTGCCTGCCACCCCGCCCGCGGTGGGCTTCCAGCATGGACTGCTCCCGGGCCTCCTTTCTGGAACTGCCTTGAGAAAGGAGGACCCTTCCTGAGCAACCACATGGGAAGCATTCAGCTGCATTTGGACCCCTCCTCCCTGCCCAGCCTCCGCTGTCTGTGTACCCTTCCCCCGGCCCTTCCCCCCATCTGTTCCCTGACTAATTCTACCTTCTCTTTCATTTTCTCTTTTCAGAAAAGCCAGAGCTGGTATAATGTAAGTATTCCTGTTTCCCTTCTTGTTGGGTACCTGAGGGGGTTGGAGGTTGGGGGGAAGAGGCATGGGGTGCAATTGGGGGAGGGGGAATGGAGGTTGGGGGGAAGGGGTGTGGGGTGCGATTGAGGGAGGGGGTTGGAGGTTAGGGGGAAGGAGTGTGAGGTGCGATTGAGGGAGGGGGTTGGAGGTTAGGGGGAAGGAGTGTGAGGTGCGATTGAGGGAGGGGGTTGGAGGTTGAGGGGGAAGCAGTGTGAGGTGCGATTGAGGGAGGGGGTTGGAGGTTAGGGGGAAGGAGTGTGAGGTGCGATTGAGGGAGGGGGTTGGAGGTTAGGGGGAAGGAGTTGAGGGGAGGGGTGAGTGCGATTGAGGGAGGGGGTTGGAGGTTGAGGGGGAAGCAGTGTGAGGTGCGATTGGGCTTTCCTGTGGACTTCTTTCCTTAGCAGGCCCTTTACTCCTAAACCAGCTGCAGCGGTTATTTTCTGCAGCAGGACAAGGCAGCCTTGAAGAGGGAGGATTGCATTCAGGGGACCGAGGAGGCGTGGTCAGCTGTATCCACTGCCTCACCGAGGCTCTTAGATAAGGGTCTATCAACCCTAAAGGAGGAGACCCATCAGGGAGGGAGTGGCCATTCCAGAGCCTGACAGAATTCTGGTGCTGGGGCAGCCTGGGGGTCTGAACTTCGTTTTCTTCCCTTAACATTTCGGGGCAAATCCAGCCAGAAAACTTTCCCCCATTGATAGAAGAGTCAACCCATGTGATGGGCTTTGACCCCTGTCCCAAGGACCCCTTCAACAGCTGCAAAGCATGCCCTTCCTACAAGGCCTCCTGGTGCTTGGGGCTGTGGTGAAGGCGTGGCGTGGGGCCACTGTCTAGGTCATCCTGGGGGTGCCCTGTGCAGCTGCTGCATACCTAGAAACTGCTGTGGGGTAAGCAGGCCTGGCGGAGGCCACAGCCTCTCAGTCACACAAACTGGGTGGTGGGATTTGGACGTTTTCCCCTGCAGAGCAGCTGTCTGAGCTCTCAGCTGGCCCCCGCCATGTGTTCTGCCCTTTGGGGACTTCACAGTGGAGGGGCTGACCTCAGATGACCCTCTGAGCCTGCCCTCCTCACACCTAACTCTGATGAATCCTGGAAAAGCTGTCTTTGCCCCCTCCCTGGACACACCAGGTTCTGCTCCAGCAGGAGACGTGGGCATGGAGTAGCTGTGGCTGTGAAGGACAGAGTTGAGGAGGGCACTCTGGCCAGGGGATGGGCTGGAGGGGAGGGGCGTGGGTTTAATGTAGGGACAGGGTTGCAGATCAATTGTGTGGGCTGGTGTGTGTTTTCCTACTTGGTGCTGGACGTTTCTTCAAAGTCAGGCATGTGCTCACGAGCCCTGCAGCTGCCAACATCCTGCTGCCCAGTGACCAGCCCGTCCTGGGTGCTGTTGATCTGCAAGCCTTGGCCACCACCTGCCCAGCACCACAAACAAGGCAGAATTTGGTGGGCTGTGCTGAGTTGTGGAGAGGAGTTATGGGCTGAGGTATCTTGGGGTGGCAGAGAAGCCAGACTCTACTTCTATCTCTGAGTCAGCCCCTTACCTTCTAGGAGGTTTCCTGGTCTGTGGCCTCAGAGGAGGGGAGGGGCGTGAGTGCTGAGCTTCCTGGGAGCGACCTGCAGCCCAGCTGTCATGGGGACCCCAGCATCCTTCACTCAACTCCCCCGGCACCTTTTTGAGCAGCATCGCACAAATTCAGGCCCCCATAGGGGAACAGGATCCACGTGGCGCAGGCCTGTTAGACAGTTCAGACATCCCTGTTTGGACAGGCCAGCCCCTGTCCTTGTTGCTAATCTCTTTCTTCTTCTCATCTGTCATTGCTCTTTTTATTGCTGTTTAGCTCAGCCTTTTGTTTCGTCTCAGCCTATGCTTCCTTGGATTCTTCTCAGCCCTTTGCTCTCTGACTCCACCCCTTTCCTTTCCTTTAATCTCCCACCATTTACTTGTTTCTCTGATTTCCACTCTCCCGGGTAGGTTTTCCTCTCTGTCTGATTCCCACAGGCTTTACTTTCTCCCCTTCTCTCCGCCATCCTTTCCCCCTGATTCCTTCTCCCTTAGCCTCCGCCTGAGTACTCTGTGTAGCAATGGGGTAGAAGCAGAAGCTGTCTCCTGGCTGGAGGATGGGGTGGGCCAGAAGTCAGGGGTTCAGATGACACATACGAGAGCCAGCGGAGGAGCTGGGCATGACGGAGCCTTGCTTTCTGATAGTGCCACCTGCGCCAGGGATGTGCAGAAGCGGTTGGACCTCAGCGATTCTTTAAATCATCCCTTGGGATGTTCTCTTTCCCAGCCTTGTCCTTCCTCTTCCTTTACTAATTCTCACTTGTCTCCTTTCACCCTCCACCCTCTCATCCCAAGTGCATTACAGAAACATCCCTGACTCTCCACTTAGCTCAGATCATTCATTCTCAGAGGCCAAGCGCCCAAGGAGCTCTTTGCTGAGGAGTGTGTGGGGCTGTCCTCTCCTGGATTCATGCGGCCCCCCTGGGAGTCCGCCCTCAGGTAACAGGGCACCCCTGCTCCTTCAGTGTGCGGTGCTCATGTCCGTGCTCTCATGTGCAGATGCCTCCTTAGGAGCTGCAGCTGAACAAGCTCCTCTCCCAGCACCCCTCCACAGCTGTCATCTGCGCCTCTTCAGGAGCCCCTTGCCCTGCCTCTGCTGCGTTGACTTGGTTTCCTGTGTTCCTTTAGGGAGCTTTTCTGTGTTCCTTTAGGGAGCTCCGTCTTCCTGCCCTGCCTCTGCTGGGCTGCTTGGAATCTGCCCTTCAGGCAGGATCCCTCTCCCCTTCTCAGCTTTGCTGGCTGGCCCCCTATAACCTCTGTCTGGATCCTAGGGTCAGCGCTCCAGCCATTCTGGTATCTGAGGCTCATTCATTACACCGGAAGTCCTTCAGAGAGGTAAAGGCATTGTAAGCCCAGCCCTGGGGATGCTTAGGAAACCCCTGGCTGGAGTCAGAGCAGTGAGGGCCAGTGCCCTGCAGAATCGCTGATAGTGGCAAGAGCATTCAGGCCCGCTGGAGCGCCCGGGTCTGGCAGGAAAGGAAGCCCAGCCACCACCCAGCCCATGCCCCAGCCTCCCCCTTCACCTGCTGCCTCTCTGCACAAGACAAAAGCATTTCCTTTTACATGGCTAGCCAGAGAGGAGCCATTGCCATGATGACAAACATGCTTGGTCTAAAGAGTGAGTCATGCGGAGGCAAGTGGCTGGACCCCAGGGACACGGGGAGAGGCCGTGGCAGGAGAGTGTCAGGTGCAGAGTGGGGTTTGAAGGCTGTGCCATCTACAGGTACCCTGAGTCCTCCCAGGCCTGATTATATGTACTCCTCCTTATCCCCAATGTTCCAGTCTACCACCCCAGTCTTATTCATCAGGGCCCTCCAATCAAGGGAGCTGTCCCAGTAGACATGAAATGGAGGGAAAAGCAGAAATAGGATTTTGCCTTCAGCAGGGAGCCAAGGGCAGAGTTGAGGGGCAACCTGGCTAGGGTCGTTGGGGCAGGAGGGGTGAAATTTACTCCCTCTCAGCCCCCAGCAGGGCATAAGTTCCCAGGGGCTTCTTTCCTTGGCCTCCTGGTGCATTCTTTTGGGCAGTCTTCTCTATGGCAGCCCAGGAAGGAGCATTTCTGAGATCAGAGCACAGGAGCCCAAACCCTGGCAGCTGCCTGCGACTTAGCACCCTGCTTGCCTGAAGCACCTGCAGTTAGGGCTGCAGCTTTGTGGAGGAGAGGGAGGGATAGTGCCAAGCCTGGGGAGCGGCTGGCATAAGCGAGAGAGCAAAAAAACAAAGGTTTGTAGGAATAGAATTCAGGGTGTTGGGAGTGGGCAGTGGAGAGGGTAGGAGACCTGTCTGGCACCTGGCCTTGCCCCAGGACTGACGATGCTCCTCCACCTCTGTCTGTATCCCCTCTGTATTTACTCCCAACTTGAAGGGTCTTCCTGGCTTCCATCCTGAGTTTTTCAGATGAGCCCCCAGCCCAGCCCAGCCCTACCCCTTCTCTACCCTTCTGCATAGCCCCCATGTCTGCCTCAGTCTCCTTTTCCCTCCTTTGCTCAGTTACCTCCTCGTCTCCAGTCCCACATCTGGCTTCTGCCTATCCAGATTTGGCTGCAAGGTCAGAGTTTCCTGGGTGGATCTTAACTGGTTTCTTCCTAGGTGAGATCAATGCTCCACTGAAATCCATCTGTTTTCTCCTGGGCTCCTCCACCCCCTCCTTCTCGCCGTCCCTGGGAAGAGGGTACCACTTGGTCCCGGCTCCTGATGTTTGCCGTAGAGTTAATGTTTAGCCCAGGGTCAATTCCTTCTCTGCTGACTCTCACCCAGCCCTGCCCAGCCCTTGGTGTGGGTGTGGGGGAGACAAAGGCTTCTGCGTAGGGGGCTCATCTCCCAGGGCTTTATCTCACAGGGCGTTTCCTGTCTCTATCTCACCCCTTATAGCCCAGGCAGCCACTTGGCCTGTAGCAATACTCAGATGTTTTCGGGTAGTTACTGTAAGGATCCAGAGTCTCTTGGAGCTACCTACAGCTTACATACTGGGGTCTGGTGTCACCCCAAGGGAGGCATACTGGTCACCTTGGAAAATGGACTTGCTACGTTTGCCTGCCACACTGCTCAGGATAGGGCTGACATGCAGGGCGAAGAGAAGCTCGCACGTGTGCTGGAGTGAGTGTTGGCAGCGACCAGGCACTGACACGCCAAACATATGGAATCAGGGATCTTTGTGTGTACATGTAAGATGCAGTGTCAACAGGCGTCCTTTGAGAGGTAGATAAGGAATGCATTCACTTGGTAAATACTTTCTTAGCACCTGATACAGTATCCCTTATCCAAAATTTTTGGGATCAGATGTGTTTTGGATTTGTGATTTTTTTTTGATTTTGGAATATTTACATATATATATACACATATACACACACACATATATATATATAAAAAAAAGAGGTATCTTGGATCCCAAGTCTAAACA